TATCGTTTTCCAATCACGATTTACATTCATAAAAATTCACTTTCGGAAAGTCGCTAATGGATCCCTTTAACTCGGCTGGTAGTGTTAAGGAGTTCGTAACACGTCTGTTGCTATAAAACGAACAAAAACATGCTCCAGAACGAATTTCTAAACCATACCTTCTTCCCCGAACAATTATCAACGATAAAAATTCCTTTTAACTAAACCTTCCTCAATAACAGCTGTCCCTTCTAGTCGATGCATTCAAGCGCCGTTCGCTAATACACATTTTTCAATTTTTTTCATTTTCAAAGGAAATACGGTGTACGTTTAAACGTTCTCGAAACAGGAGGGCATTATAATTAGGTTGCACAGGTAAACGATTTTAATAATGTCTTGTGTACCGGAGCGCAGCGGAAGATAATGAAAATTATAATATCGCGAAGGCAATCATCGGTGTATCGCAGCTCGATAAAATCAGAGCAGAAGCGAGACCGGGTAAAATTGTTTGTCGTCCCTCTGTTTGATCTGTCGACGTTAATAACGCCGTTCGATTGCGCTCGATGTGGCGCCCCTGGACGTTCTGATTGCGAGACAACATGGATCTCTCGCGAATCTATGTGATTTTCTCTTTTTTTCTCCCCTTTTCTCTATTTTTCTGTATGGTCAACGTGTATTCTTATGGAACGTGGCGTTTTTACGGTCGAGTTTGATCAATGGACGAGAATAAATCGTAACTCTGAGAAGTGTTCATTTCGATGTCTGTGGACGACTGACTTGTTCTACTCGGGAACGATTTCGCTAGAACTCGAGTCTCGGTCTCTTTCCACTGCACGAATATTTTGGAATAAATCTCTGTTTTCAGAATGTACGATTAATAAATAATTCTATTATCGAAACGAAAATGATTCAATTACGAAAAATGTATCGTTGATTTTAATACTTCTTTCTAAAACAAATTTTCATTCGGGTAGGTCGTTTCGATATTCTTTTTAAACAAATTTTCATACCTTTCTATTGGGTTGGCCAAAAAGTTCGTGCGGTTTTTCAAGTCTGTTAACGTAACCAAGTTGATGCAAACGATTTTCTACGGTTGTTTTTGATACTTGGAGCTCCTGTTTCAGAAGGAAGCTGCTCGAGTCTGGACGAGAACGATCGAGTTTTTTTTTGGTGTACTAGTTTTGACTTTGATCTATTGACTGCGAGTGTTGAAAATGTTCTCTTTTCGGAGGACGATTCCTCCTGAGGGAAGCGCGATTTCCCTCTCTACGCTTCGAGGCTCCGCCGCGACATTCACGGGCGAAATTACACGCGGTCACAACGATCGCGTGTTAACACGGAAGGGAATGCTCGGGGGAGAAATCGCGCTACCTACCCCAATGATCGATATCTAACTAAACACTCTCCTCCACTTGTCACGTAAAATCAAGAACCATCGAAACGTTTTACGAATTCCCTGCATTTACTCCAGTTATCACAGTACTATACTAAAAATCTCGAGATAAAATATAATTTTCACTACTAACGTTTTATTCGTCAAATTAAAACATCATCTCTCAATTAATAAAATCGTGTTAAAATTACATTGAAATGGATTCATGTGTTTATACGTGAAAATCAAAATAATCTCTACAGAGATGAAATTTATCTTGTTTTCTAAGAAAACAAGTAAAAGATACGCTAGACACGCGAGAATAAACCGGAAACGGAGGACCTCGAGGGGGTCGATTTGCTTTAGACGAAACGGAGAAACACTCTGTAATGTGAATGGAGCATCGATTCCGGTCTTAGAATCGCCGGACAATGTGCCAGAGGAATCACTGGGGTTCCGTGAGACAACTTCGGAGGATCATAAACCCCAGTGCACAGTAGAACGGCGGCGTTCAGACACCGTCTTTGCACGCTCCTTTGAACGTTTAAACGGCGATTTACCGGAAGACGGGGCTGATTGAATCGTCTGGCCTTTCATCGATGCTCTCCCGTGTGTCTTATTGTTCGAAAGTGTATCTTACAACGAAGAGTTAGTTTAATTCTTTACCTCGTGATTGTCTTTCTTTTGGAGTTAGTTCATCGTTTTACTGGGACTATGGAGAGTGAAAATTTTGGTTATGTGTATCAGCGATATGTCTTAATTCGAAATTTTCCAACTTTTCGATTTATGAAGAAATGATTATATAAAAGAATCTTCCGTTGCGTCGATTAGCTTTGGAATACAAGATAAATTTTATTTTATGCGAGAAAGGGTTAGGAAGACTGGCGATTCCCCGACTTTTCCAGATGCTGCTGGCAGCGAGGTGAAGTTCGACGAGCACGGTGACGGTTTGGCGCGGTACGAGATCCTCAACTTCCGGAAATCGGACCACAACGGGACTAACGGATATCACTATCGGGCAAGTGAAAGTACTTTTGACTTTTTCTCTTCCACCGATTAATTAGAACTTTTGAAATACGAGCTTCTTGTGTTCCCTCTCCCCTTTCCTCCCCCATCCTCCTACTCCTCGCCATCCTGAGACTCTCTTCTACCTTTGCACTCTCTGGTAAGCCTGAGAGAGAGTTCGCCGGAGTGCAAACTTTCTGCGAACTCCAGAGGCTCAGCCGGAGAACCGCTTTCGGCACTTTTGCGCTCATTCGAGCCCGGCATAATATCGAAATTGAAGTTCCTATTATTGGATTCGGCGAATTTCAACCCCCCGGGGCCTTGGTAGAGGTAATTATCCCTCAAGAAAGTTTCGCCAGTGTGAATAAATTGAAATAATCTCTGGGGCAGTTAGGTTTAGTTACACAATGGAGATTTGACATATTTCTCACATTTTTCGAAACATTTTTTCAAGATGCTGAGTACTTTAACCCTTTTCAAGGTATTAGGTAACACTTCTTTTTTCTGTATTTTTTAAGAACTCCTTATAGAAGGCTTCCCTCAGAACCTATAACAATTCGAAAGAATTTTCGTTCTTCCTGAGCGCAGGAGTAATTCTTTGAATTCTCACATTTCTCGATATTTTTTTAACCTTCCTAACCTAAGAACGAAAACTACGAGAAGGAAACCTTGAATCTAGAAAGTATTATAAATAGAAATAGCAATTTTCTATCGCAGACCGTCACCCACCGCATCAACCTTAACACGTTCCGCGCCAGACCGATTTTCGGTGACTTTCCGTTCACGCCGCGTGGGTCGTATGCGTCCCACATTGTCGAGACTAACAGTTTTGCTTTTCGTCCTATATGTCTTCCAATATTTACAAGATCGCAAAAATCATTGTTATCGAGAAAAAGGTAACGTTTAAGATATGCTATAGAGCAAAGGAAAAATTTTTGTTTTAACAAATTATCGCCGTAGTTGCATAGTTTAAGTCAGCGGAAAGAAAAGACCGAAATATCAGATGGCCTGAACGGAAAGACCAGAGTGGGGCGTACGCGACCCACGCGGCACGGAGCGTGTTAAATAAATTTCGAGGGATGTAAGCTTGACTGTGAATATCAAATGATTAACTCTCACTGTGCCTACTCCATCGCCCACTTACCAGACCCATCTTTTATATTCCTTCTTATTACCACACTCTGCATTCTTTTACTTCAAATAATTGCCTTCAATCTCTCAATACCATATCTAAGGGTAACATATAAATAAATTCCATCATTATACGGTTTCTTTTTTTTTTTCTACTTAAAATCAAGTCATTTTCAATCCCACGGCTCCGATTTCTTACCAGAAAATCAGACTACCCGCGCATTAAATTACCTTCGACCCAGTGCATTTCTCCCAGCTCGGTCTCGCGTATCCAATTAACGATTGTTTTTCGATAAAAATCGTAAATCAACCAGACGGTGCAGCGGTCGCGTTTCTCGACGATAAAGTAGCAGTGAGACATAAATTGCAACGTGACCTTCGTCGTGTTCGCCTTCCTAGCGCTGGATGCAACTTGCAACGATGAAATATAACCCTCGCCACGGCCGGAACAGGTAACGTTAAATCGTTAAAAAGCGCTAGTTTTATTGTTCCACCGGCTGGTACCGTGTATTACAGAAAACGAAAAAAAAAAGAAAGCCATCGTACGTTTTCAGATAGCAGCCTAAAACTCCTCTTCTTTTTCACGATTTTTACGGGAAAACGACCATGCATCATCTGGTTATTATCAAAGTGGAGTATCTAAGTCACGCAGCCACGCGAAATATTTATTTCGTCAAAACCGATAAAAAAGAAAAAATATCACCTCGTAGTTCTTCAATTTTACAAATGTTTCTGTCAGTAGAGTGGGTGGGTAGGTAACGGACGTCGAGTGTCTGGGAAAATATCGGAGAGTTGCGTATCATTTCGACGCGAGTGTATCGGCCGCCAATCGACTCGAAGCGAAATTTTCACGTCAATCAACGCCTATCTCCAAAGTGTAACACCACCTCTTCGATTCTGTGATTCTCGAACACCCTTCAATTTTTTTCGTAATTCCTCCATCACCCCTCGATCGAATATCGTAGACGCCATGAACAGGTCGTTCTGATCGTTTAAAAAAACTTCTACCACTTTTTCCATTGAAGAATTGTACCATTCACAAGGTTGCTCTTAATTTCCCTTGTACTTGTTTTTACGCTTTCAAAATTTTCATAAGAAACTATTTAAACAATCTGAAATTTCCTACCTGGAAAATGTTATCATTCCCAAAATTTTCCACATAAGTTAGCTCAAAAAATTTTTTAAAGAGAACTCCCAAAATGTATAAATAACACCTTTGAACCCCTCCTCAAAATCAAACAAATCTCTCTATCTCTTCATTAACCCCTTGCTTCATAACAACGAGTCAAACGAGGTCAATATTAATTTCAACTGCAACTTTCGTTTATAAAACTGAAAATTAGCAAATGTAACTAATCTATAATATATTACCTCTCTAACACAGTACCAAACCAGTAGATAACTGTCGCTTGCATACACAGTCATTAAAAGAAAATACATAAATCAAGGGGTTAAACACCCACCTAAAGTTAAACGAACTCCAAATACCATAATCCTACAAACTCTTAATCAGGTGGTGGGAAAATGGTTCAACTCCTTAGACATCCGTACAGAGGAACTAGTATGGGCACGTGGCACTAAGGACATACCGATCTCAGCTTGTTCGCTGCCCTGTGAGCCAGGTATGATAAAGAAGCAACAGGGTGACACTTGTTGCTGGGTGTGCGATCAGTGCGAGGTGTACGAGTACGTCTACGACGAGTACACCTGCATGGACTGCGGACCTGGTAAATGGCCGCACGAGGACAAACGTGGCTGCTACCAGCTGCCTATCAACCACATCAGATGGGACAGTGCGTTCGCCATTGTTCCGGCGGTGATTTCGTGTCTGGGTATCGTGGCCACTCTCGCGGTCGCGTGTCTCCTCTTCCACCACAGGGACACGCCCGTGGTCAGGGCGTCGGGACGCGAGCTCACCATCATTCTACTGGCTGGTGTGCTTGTCTGTTACCTGAACACGTTCCTCCTACTCGCCACACCCACCACCGTCACCTGTATACTGCAGAGGTTCGGTGTTGGAGTGAGTTTCAGCGCGGTCTATGGGGCTCTGTTGACCAAGACCAATAGAATCGCGAGGATCTTCGATTCCGCGTCGAGATCCGCGGTTAGACCTAGGTACATCAGCCCTGCTTCGCAAGTCTGCATCGCTGCTGCGATGATCGCGTTGCAGGTAAGACTTCTTTTAGCCAAGTAATAAGGAAGATTATTCAATTCACGGGTATGTCATAAGAAAATATAATTTAAAAGTGCTGCTGAAAAGTACAGCGAATCAGAAGAGTTCATCTTCCCTGAAGAAAATGTAACGATGGCTATGTGTTCACACATATGCAAGAGAAGCTCTTTGTATTAAAATATTTTAACAATTCAAGTCGAGAAAATTCTTATCTAGTGGTCGCTGACAGATTTTCACAAAAATAGAGCTAGTTCCTAAGACAGTTTTTAAATTATATTATCGTGACCCTTGTGACATACTCTTTCGAGCCACGTATAAAAATATCTGCGATTTTATCATCGATTGAATTTTATTGGGTTGGCCAGAAAGTTCGTGCGGTTTTTCAAGTCGGCTAACGTAACCAAGTTGATGCAAACGATTTTCTACGGTTGTTTTTGATACTTGGAGCTCCTGTGCAACTTCCCGTGTTGTGTACCGAGTATTATTTTTTATTTATTCGTTGTCAATCTGTTGTGGTTGACCAGAGCGTAGTGAATCGCGAAGTGAAAAATCCCCGGAACGAAATCTCGCAAACCACTTTTGGCATACGCATTCTTCGATGACATTCTCCCCGTACACCTCTTAGATGCTTCCGACGTGTTTTTGCCTTTTTTAAAATAAAACAGTATAATGTGCCGGAAATGCTCCTTTTGATTTTCCATCTTCCAACTTCCGCCAAACTTACCAATTGAACTGTATTAACAAACTCTTTAGATATAATTTGAGGTTAAGTGTTACCTATCAAATGACTATCTGCTTTAAACAAAGGAACTGAAGTTAGTTGCACTTTGGAACGCCTGAATTGAAGAATCGCCAGAAACCGCACGAACTTTCTGGCCAACCTAATATATATTTTTAAGATGCAGTCATAAAAATACAATTTTCTAAGTGACAGCTATAATTGGTTTTATATTATATGAAAGTGGTTGTCAAGACAAATTGAACGACCTATGAAAAACTCATTTTCAAGCTCAATTTCGTGTCAGTGCTTGGTGTAGCATAATCAGTGACACACTGTTAGGACATTATTTTTATGACGGCAAGGTTTTAGAAGTTTCATCGTATGTACTCGTTGTATTACAAAGAATCTAGCAGAGTGAAATGGTCAAAATTGCCCTTGAACCAATTAGGTCGTGCGATATACCATTCGAAAGCTCATCCAACTTTCAGCCCTCTAGCTCGACCTAGGGGACGTAGTTACAGAGTGGTTTCTGTTCATAATGGACTATTTTCCCTATTTAGCGGTGTGCAAAAATTTTGAAAAAAATCTACCACATTGCGTATATGAAAGCACATGTTAGTGAATTTTTTCCGATTTTTTCGTTGCGAATTCTAGTTGTAAAAAATAAAAAGCGTGAGCAAAAGCGGATATCTTTTCAAATATTGAAGCGACTACTTTTATATTTATCTAGTAGCAGCATCTGAACATAACTATTATCCTCAATGTTCTTCAGATTTTTTGATAAGGTGCGCCATAGTTAAAAAAATTGAAAACCAATCTTTCTAAGGTATTTCGCGCGCAAAAGTAACTTGTACTTTGAATTTTTATATTTTCTTTACTAAAATGTCCACGTTGCTTCCAATAGCTTCGTTGGCGCAGCGGCTAAGCTGTAGAACCGCTGGAAACTTCTTTAATTTATGTATTGTTCCTTCCAATGTAAAAGCAAACTAGCCGGTTTTTTATATTGTTGTTTGTGAGGAGTAACGTTTTAAAATATAGCTAAAATGTAGAGAGTGTAGTCCCAGTGTGCGCCTTATGGTAAACGCGGCCTTGGGACGAATTGCAAACAATTATTAACAAACTTTAGCAGCGGTTTGCCGTTGGACAATTTCAGCAATAATCTGGCCAACCTAATAATTCGCGGCTAAATAATCTCCAGTAGATTAATCGATAATTTGGTGTCACGTGCAATATTAATCGTTACAATTTTCACGTTATTCGGACCACCTTTTTTATTCGTTTATTTATCACGACTTTATTGCACCAATAATAAAAAACAAATACACAATTTCGAAGGTGAGGCTCAGTTACAGCTGTTGTTATTTAATACCAATTTATCTCCACCGGTAATTGAAACGCACAATTTTTCCAACGATCAGAAACTTCGAAGCAAAACACAATACACAGAATGGTCAAAAAATCTGTCAGCGAGCAAACGTTTCAAAAGCATTCTCTCGAAAGCGTCGGGAAGATTTTCCCGTGAAATTTGTCGTTGGACGATTCGACGTCCGATTCGAAGACTCGCCGACGACAAAAGCACCCGGCGAGACCTTCGACGTTCGTTTGGCGGGAGGACCGGAAACGTCAGTCACGTCCATAGTTAAATACGCACGTCGCGGAAGAACTGGGAACACGGTCAATTTCCTCCTTCGCTCCCGTCCCGCGGCTCTAAATTTGAAAACTTGCCCGTTCTTTGATCTAGTCGCCGCCATAACTTCCGGCCACGCTTTTGTCTGCTCCTCGCGGGAAAAGTTGGCCGCGACGAAAAAAGAGCCGGAGCACGGTTGTTTGCTCCTGAAATAACTTGAAAACGGTGTCTGGAATTGAGACTGCGGCGAAACGAGAGGCGTAATAGAAAAAGCGTCGCAGAGATCGCTCGTCGAAACTTGAAAAACGGTTCGAAACTCTCGAAATCATTTCTCTCCCGAAGCTGTAAGAACTTCTTTCCTTGCGGGGTTTTTCCGGAAAAATTCTGACCGCTGTAAATTGCAACATCCTTTAACAAGTGTTTGACAGGTGTTCGGACCATTGAAGATCCTTTTCAGGCGAAATTCGGGGGATGAAATGTATAGATACAGTTGATACAGTAGAATTTTTATTTTGTTTGCATGATATACAGTTATTCTTCGAAAATATTCGGACTGGAATACTAACGGAACAACGGAGCCGGGGAAAATATTGTTTCCAATAGTAAATAGGAAATAAATCGCGTGTTGCGACCTGATTAGAACGCAACGAAGTCTCGGTTAGTCACATTTTGCCTCCAGACCGAGGTGCCGACGTTCGGAAGACCGCAATACAGTAAATTCTCCACAAGTGTCAGTCAGTTTGGATTCTACAAGTGTCAGTATAGATGGTCCTACGCCTAGGTCTGCGTCATTGCTGCGCCTATGTTATCTTGCTCGCTGTCAGTCCACTCGGTTTCTTTTACGAGATTTCACGGCTGGACAATTCATAATAGAAAAATATAATTTCTTTAATTTTACTTTTTTTCATCTGAAATTTTTGTTGACATGAAAATGACATCAAACACGATATAATTTTGTCACGCCCGACAGTGAACGTGTTAATAAGTAAATGTTGTTCAAATTATGTCGTGTTTGATGTCATTTTCATCAGAGAAATCTCGTCAATATGTTAAGACAAATTTCGGTATAAGAAAACGTAAAATTAAAAAAGTTGGTATTTAAATCGCTTGGTTGCCCCGACACACGTTTCATCCTTATCTTTTATTCGCTGTCCTTGTCTACCTGAAACAGTTGCGTGGACCACCCCTATACAGAATTCCTTCTTGAAACCCGCGTACAATAGAAATTTTGCTATGAGTTAAAATGACCCTGCATTCGCCTTCCGAGGGTTAAAAATGATCACACACGGCGTAGCTATTAAAAAAATTATTTGTAAAATCTAAATTTCTTTCACCGTAATTCGTTATTTTATTAGACTGTCGAAGGGTCAAGCGAGTAGCCTGGTCGACGAAAATTTCTCTTCTTTAATTAGTCTCTTTTAAACAACCCACCGTGTACAGTGTCCGGACATTTTTGCGAGTGTCGAACCGTGTATCTGTTTACCGTGCAGACTCGTTTAATCGTACGGATATTCAAAAAGCGTGGTGTCTCGATTACCGGGGCGTTAATGAACCCGCGTAAATTGTATCGATTAGCGGGCGGTACGAAACGAAACAATTATCAATAAATGTAACGAAACCCGATAACACGGTCAGATTTATAGGGAAACGTTCGTTCTACCAGGGATCGAAAATTTAAGGGAGATTGTTATCTTTATTCTGTTACATATATCACGAGGCGCGGAGATAGTAAAGTAATTGATATCAAGCCAGACGAAGAGGTGAGAGAAAGAGAGAAGGGGAGAAGGTTTCGAAGAGACCTATGTGTCGATGGTTTGGTAAGAGAGAGAGAGAGAGAGAGAGGGTACCAGAGGAGTAGGAGGAAAAGCTCGAAGGAAAAGGAAGTTTCGGGGTGAGAGAAGAAGGAAAATCCATCGACCCACGTGGTAGGTTTCTACGAATCCAAGGAAATCGGTTTAGAGACCGGAAGGGAGCCGCTTTGATCGCGTTACCGGCTCGATCTCACGGATTAGGGACGATCCTTTTCCTCTTTCTCCCTCTTCTCTACCCCCTTTGCCTTTTTCCCTCGTGCTTCCCCATCGTCCCCTATTTTGTTCTTATCCCTGGCCGCCTTTTCTCACCAAACTCGATATTTCGACTTTGACCGTAACCTGCCCCAAGGAAAGCCTCGTTTCCACTTAGCCCGGCCCAAGAATAAAAGGGGAATAAAAATAAACTTACACGCCTGGTCAATTTATCCTGGCATTACGTGCGTTCTACCCGGTGATTCGATGGGAAGTATCGTGACGGTAGGTCAGGGTGATGAATTCATCGGGAGAACGATTTTGGGGCTGGCGAGGGTCGTTGTTCAGATTCTACCATGTCGTGTAAGGTGAAGATTTTTGTTCAGATTTTATACGGTTTTTTGAATTCGAGCGTTATTTTTAGATTCTGTAATAGTGACTTACCGAAAAGTTTGTGAACTTCAACCCTTAAGTGACATTTTTAGGAACGGACGGAAACACGAAATTATCATAAACTTTTTTATAACTTAAACATTTATTCTTTGCATTAGTACGTTAAATAGATTTAAATTGCGAAAAAAAACGTAGCAAATTTAAAAAATGTCAGCTGATTTATAAATGAAGCAGCCTCGAAGACGGCACGTGA